TTGTTAAACGACCAGTTTTAAAAATAAATATATTATATATATAAATATAATATAGATAAGTTTATATATAAATAACTAGATGTAATTGTTAAGATATACATAGAAATAGCAAATATTAATTGGTGCTCTGCTTGGTAAAATGAAAAATGAAAACTGTCAAACATAACCTCAAACACAGAAATAACTACATGAGTAATAAATTATAAATTGTATTTATAATTTTTTTTGTATTAACAATATTTCTACTAATGAAAACTCTCAACTATAATCTCTTATACAATATTTTATAAGTTTGCTCGTCAGTAGAGTCCCCTTTATGTGTTTTTACTATTTTATTTAGATTTGTTCATTTTATCATTAAATTTGTCATTTTAATTTTAAATTTAATTTTTTTTATATTCTAATTTTAAATTTAAATTTGCCTGTCAGTAGAATTCCTTTCTTCAATTTTTTTTTAAATAAAAATCGAGTTTGCTCGTCGGTAGAGTCTTTTTTCTCAAAATTCTTGATAAAAATAAAGTTTGCTCGTCAGTAGAGTCCTTTTTTCTCAAAATTCTTGATAAAAATCAAGTTTGCTCGTCAGTAGAGTTCCTTTTTGTAATTTTTACTATTTTATTTAGATTTGTTCGTCAGTAGATTTTGTTTTTTATATTTTAATTTGAAATTTAAATTTGCGCGTCAGTAGAGTTCCTTTTTTTAAAAGTTAAATTAAATTTGTGTGTCAGTAGAGTCCCTTTTTTCAAAATTTTAGATAAAATTCAAAGTTGCTCGTCAGTAGAGTCCCTTTTTTCAAAATTCTAGATAAAAATCGAGTTTGCTCGTCAGTAGAGTCCCTTTTTTAAAAGTTTTTGATAAAAATAAAGTTTGCTCGTCAGTAGAGTTCTTTTTTTTAACATTCTAGATAAAAATCAAGCTTGCTCGTCAGTAGAGTTTCTTTTTTTTAAGGTTTTTGATAAAAATCAAGTTTGCTCGTCAGTAGTCTTTTTTTTTTCTTGACATTTCATTAAAATTTTTTTCAATTTTCTAAAGTTTGATTTGCTCGTCAGTAGAGTCCCTTTATTCTTAACATTTCTCCAGAATTTTTTAATTTAGTTTGCTCATCAGTAGTCCTTTATTGAAATAAATTTAAAGAAGGACTCTACTGACAAGCAAACTCAATTTTTATCTAAAATATTTGAAAAAGGGACTCTACTGACGAGCAAATTTAATTTAACTTTCAAAAAAGAAACTCTACTGACGGGCAAATTTAAATTTCAAATTAAAATTTGAAAAAGTGACTCTACTGACGAACAAATCTAAATAAAATAGTAGAAAACATAGAAAGGGACTCTATTGTCGAACAAACTTGATTTTTGTCTAGAATTTTGGAAAAAGAAACTCTACTGAAGAGCAAACTCAATTTTTATCTAGAATTTTGAAAAAAGAAACTCTACTGACGAGCAAATTTAACTTTCAACAATAATCTCTTTTGTATTTTTTACAATTTTATTTAGATTTGTTCGTCAGTAGAGTCACTTTTTTATATTTTAATTTGAAATTTAAATTTGCCCGTCAGTAGAGTTCCTTTTTTCAAAATTCTTGATAAAAATCGAGTTTGCTCGTCAGTTTTCTAGATCGAAATTGAACTTTGCTTGTCAGTAGAGTCCTTTTTTTTAAATTTCTGGATCAGAATTTATATTTGCTCGACAGTAAAGTCCTTTTTTTAATTTTGGATCAGAATTTATATTTTGCTCGTCAGTAGAGTCCGTTTTTTCAATTACACAATTTTATTTGATTAATAGAAATAATAATAGAATTAATAATAAAATCTTACACAAATCAAATAAATACAAAACAAATTTGTGTTACAAAACTCCATATATAATAAATTTTAATTTAAACTTATACATTTTTAAATATTTAAATTTATTTATCAACTGTCAATTATTACATCTGGTACTACCATTTATAACCCGCGCCATTCGGCAACCCTCTGTTTCCGCCAATCAGGACGCAGGATGCCTTTTGGGGACACAATATGGCGTCTTCTTTCGTTTGACAGTAGAAAAATATGTTGAAATGATTTAGTTGTATTTATTTATTGTTAATTGTAGTGAAAAAATGATGTTGAATTCAGTTTAAAGATGTGTTTTAACTAATTTAAATAATTTATGAAGTTATTGTAGTGTTTAGTTGTGGTTTAGTGGTTTAATTGTGCAATTGTTGGATTGTATTTGCGAAATTTGATGGTAGCACAAAATGGCAAGTGTTTTATAATTTTTATTTGTATATGTTTATATATGTCTTTATATATATATTATATATATATATATATATATATATGTATATAATCTAAATAAACCTAGCAAGACATTTTTTATAATATTGTAGTCCAAATGTTCCAAAATTTTGCATTAAACTCAATGTACTCAAACATAACCTCAAACTTCTTTAACACTAACCTCACTTTGATTTTTTTTTTTTATTTGAAAATTGAATTAGACAACTATTTAATATCCATACCCATTCACTTCTGGTTTAAACCCAACAGCTATTTTATGAAATGACTGATATCTTATCTCTATCGTAAATATATTTACATCAACTTTCACAATATTAAACGAGTTCAATATGAACTTTTATATTAATCGAGTTAAACATTTTACTAAATTAACAAAATAAGACAACTTTTTGACTGAAATCTAATTGTAAATATATCCGAGAGATACAATCAAAGGCACTTTGTCTAATATTATATTTTTAATCTTATAATATTTTTTAATTAATTACATTTAACTAACAAACAAATTAGACTATTCGATAGCTATTCGACTACTAGGTTCTCAATTGTATTCTCGAGTTAACATTGATGAAGGTGAAATGAAATAATTTAATTGAGTTTAAGATTTTTTTTTGTTACATACAGTTATTCGATAATGAAAAACTATTTCTATGCTCTTGTGTTCAACAATTTTATGAATCGTATCTTTATTTTCTAACTTTTTAAATAATTAATGTTTTTGTTGGTCGACAGTAGAGACTCTTTTTCAATATTATTGATATAAAAATTGTATTATTCTTGATGAAAATTGACTTTGCTTGTCAGTAGAGTCTCTTTTTTTCAAAATTTGTGATAAAAAGCGAGTTTGCTCGTCAGTAAGGTCCCTTTTTATATTTTTTACTATTTTATTTACATTTGTTCGTCAGTAGAGTCACTTTTTTATATTTTAATTTGAAATTTAAATTTGCCCGTCAGTAGAGGCCCTTTTTTCCAGAAATTTAGTAAAAAACAAGTTTGCTCGTCAGTAGAGTCTCTTCTTTTCAAAAATTTTGATAAAAATCAAAATTTGCTCTTCAGTAGAGTTTCTTTTTTCAAAATTCTAGATAAAAATCGCGTTTTCTCGTCAGTAGAGTATCTTTTTTCTTATTTTCTATACGTCGTTAGAGTCTCTTTTGTCAAAATTCTTGATAAAAATCAAACTTGCTCGTCAGTAGAGTCTCTTTTTTTTAATTTTTTGATAAAAAAATGAAATTGCTCGTCAGTAGAGTGCTTTTTTAAATTTATTTTAGTAAAGGACTTTACTGACGAGTAAACTAAATTAAAAAAGTTCGAGAGAAATGTTAAGAATTTCAAAAAAATGTTTAAAAATAAAGAGACTCTACTGACGAGCAAACTGATTATTTAAAGAGATTCTCGTTTTAGTTTTTTTTCGTCAGTAGAGTCCCTTTTATATTATTTTACTTTGAGAGTCCCTTTTCGTTTAGTAAAGATTGAACTCACTTAATAAAGAATGAACTCTACTGACTATTGAACACGATTTAAATTAGAAAAAAAAAGAACTCTAATGATGAGCAAATTGATTATCGTCTGAATTGAGGGAAAAAAACTAAAATAGACTCTACTGACGAGCAAATTCGATGAAAAATGCAAAAAGTGTTGCTAAGATTAGAGACATGGATTTATATAGAAATGGTTTAAAAACTACTTTTATCGTCAGACAGTTATTAATTTTAAATTTGTTTTTCGTTAATTAATTGAATTTAGTAGTATGTGCCATTTTTTTTATTTTTCAAATATTAAAATTCAATTTTATTTGAAAAATTTTGTATTTTTGTAAAAGTTCAAGTGTGAAACACGCCTTACAACGCTAAAGCTCCACCACACTCTACCGGCTCCATATAAAAATAACCTACTTGTATCTACAAAATGTCAAGTGCGAGTGCGGCTTTAGGCTAAAGCTTGTAACACACTGTGCAACTTTATATCAATTAAATAAACTTAAAAAGATATAGTTTACTTTGCGTGCATCATGCAACAATGATGTACATTTAAATTATAAAATCGAGTTTTAGCAGAGCACTAATATATATTTTTTTTATATATTAATGAAATTCGATGAGTCATCTTCTATCATCATATCATTATCAATACGATTAGAGAATGTCTTCATATCATCATAATGCTTATCCTCTTCATCATCCCTTTTATAAAATGTCACACATATCTTTCTATTAATTAATTATTAATAATTATTGATTAATAATTAATAATAATGTCCTATACATATATAAATAAATAATAATTAGCTTTATTATACGTACAATAATGGTTACCTATATACATACATATACATATACATATATTATAAATAAATAAATAAAAATAAATATAAATTAATAAAATTGATAAATTGAAATAAACGATTATAAAATATTATTTGAGGGTTTTTTTCAATTGTATTTTACAGTATTGTAGATATTTTTTTTTGAAGTTGTGCTTCTAAGGTGACTTGTTTTAATTTGCTCGTCAGTAGAATCCTTTTTTAAATTTCTGGATCATAATTGAATTTTGCTCGTCAGTACAGTCCCTTTTGTCAATTTTCTGGGTTATTAAAATTTGCTTGTCAGTAGAGTCCCTTTTTACAACTTTCTAGGTTAGAATTTAATTTTGGTCGTCAGTAGAGTCCCTTTTTTTAATTTTCTAGATCGAAATTCAAATTTTGTGCGTCAGTAGAGTTTTTTTTTCAAAAATTTTGATAAATATCTAGTTTGCTTGTCAGTAGAGTCTACTTTTTTAAAATTCTTGATAAAAATCGAGTTTGCTCGTCAGTAGAGTCCCTTTTTATAATTTTTACTATTTTATTCAGATTTCTTCATCGGTAGAGTCACTTTTTCATATATTAATTTGAAATTTAAATTTGCTCGTCAGTAGAGTCCTTTTTCCAAAAATTCTTGATAAAAATCAAGTTTTCTCGTCAGTAGAGTCCTTTTTTTAAAATCTGGATCAGAATTTAATTTTGCTCGGCAGTAGAGTCCGTTTTTGTTTTTTTCTACTATTTTATTTATATTTGCTTGTCTGTAGAGTCACTTTTTCATATTTTAATTTGAAATTTAAATTTGCCCGTCAGTAGAGTCCTTTTTTTTCTTAAAATTCTAGATAAAAATCGAGTTTGCTCGTCAGTAGAGTCCCTTTTTCCAAAAATTCTTGATAAAAATCAAGTTTGCTCGTCAGTAGAGTCCTTTTTTTAAAATCTGGATCAGAATTTAATTTTGCTCGGCAGTAGAGTCCGTTTTTGTTTTTTTCTACTATTTTATTTATATTTGCTTGTCTGTAGAGTCACTTTTTCATATTTTAATTTGAAATTTAAATTTGCCCGTCAGTAGAGTCCTTTTTTTTCTTAAAATTCTAGATAAAAATCGAGTTTGCTCGTCAGTAGAGTCCCTTTTTCCAAAAATTCTTGATAAAAATCAAGTTTGCTCGTCAGTAGGGTCCCTTTTTTTAATATTTTAGATAAATAGTTCTTTTTTGTATTTTTTACTATTTTATTTATATCTGCTTGTCAGTAGAGTCACTTTTTAATTTTCTAGATCGAAATTTATATTTTGCTCGTCAGTAGAGTCCCTTTTTTATTTTTAAAATCAGAAGTAAACTTTGCTCGTCAGTAGAGACCCTTTTCTTAATTCTCTAGATCAAAATTAAACTTTGCTTGTCAGTAGAGACCCTTTTCTTAATTCTCTAGATCGAAATTTATATTTTGCTCGTCAGTAGAGTCCGTTTAAAAAAACGGACAAAACTTTACTAACATATTCCTAAATATCAAGCCGCTTCGGTATTAAAACGCATAAAACCAAAATCAGTCTATGTTTTAACGCGTGAAGGTCACTCTTAGAACTTTCATATATGGATCGAGCACGAAGCGTACTAAAAACTTTGTTTCACACTTTTCAGTTAAGTCCAAGACGTGCGGTCGAGGCGTGTGAATCGGACGTTCACATTAGACTTTTGCGGGATAATAATGTATGTTAAAAGTGGTACATTTTTTACATTTTTGTTTATATCTTTTGAATTATTGAATTTATCTTGAAACAATCTTTTGCTAGTTTATAGATAATTGAATTATCTACGCTTTTGTCTAATATTGTAAACGTGTATATTTAATAGATAAGAAAATAATGAATAATTAAAAATACAGTTTGTCAAAAATTATATATTATGTATAATAAAGTGTATAAAATGTTAAGTCATTAAATAAAATATTATATATATATATATATATATATATATATATATATTATATGTCGTTTTCAATTTTGGTTTCGTTTTGTCTCCTCTCGATCCTCGTGCACTTCGGGCAACACTTTGCCTTTTTCGTCCAACAAAGTCGATGGAAAATCGAATTGCATTTCCAACATGGCATCGCACAACTGTCAAAAGGGTAAATTATTTCGTTGTTGCCACACAGTTCGCATAAATAGCCTTTTGCTTTGCAAATCTGGAAAAAAATAAAAAAATAAAAAAACAATATTGTTATATTTATAATGTTATAAATTGATATTACAAAATAAATAAATATCTTGTACGGAACCCTATTACTTTTTAGAATGTTTAAGTATGATTTCTAGTTAGTTCTTGTCGAGACCTTTCATTTGATACCCCACATGCCTATATTTGAAGTAAAACTTCTTGACTCATAATTGAACCCGTGTTTGGCAACCCATTGGTTTACTTTTTATTGTATCTCTTGTAACTTTTGAACGGTTTGTCCAATTTAAATGTAGTATTCGACGAATTTATGTTAAATTAAATTATTTATGAAATGTTCTAATATAGTTTGACTCTACAGCAACTTGGTGTACTTTAAAATTGTAAAAATTGACATTACGAAATAAATAAATATCATGTACGGAACCCTATTACTTTCTAGAATGTTTAAGTATGATTTCTAGTTAGTTCTCGCCGAGATCTTTCATTTGATACCCCACATCCCTATATTTGATGTGACAACATCTCTACCCAAACCTAATATTTTAAATTCGATATTTGCTCGCCATGTCGTCCGAACCTAACACGACGCTTTCCCATACATTTTTACTTAGGCTCGGTTATGCATGGTAAGCGTTACTCCATTATTTTTAGTAAAAATGTATTTAGGTATTGAGATGTATTTTATAGCAGTCGAATAAATGTAATAAATTAGTTGTAAGTGTTATTTTGCCTTAAGGCAAGTTGCTGGAACATCCCATAATACATGTAAATAATTTATAAGATTTTTTCGTCGATTTCAAAATTTAAAAAAGGGACTCTACTGACGAGCAAACTTTAATTTTGATATAGAAAATTAAAAAAAAGAAACTCTAATGACGAGCAAACTTAGTTTGTCCGTGAAAAAGAAAAGGGACTCTACTGACAAACAAAAAAACAAGCAAATTAAATTACTAGCTAAAAGAAAAGAAAAGAGAATTCTACTGATGGACGATCTTATATTTAAGGTCAAAAAGAGACAAGATTTTTTATGAATTTGATTAGAAAGCACAGAGGGGACTCTACTGACGAACAAACTTTACTTTCATTTCTAGAAGATTAAAAATTGACTCTACTGACGAGAAAACTCCTAACATTGATCTAGATTTTGGTCTTCTAAAATTTTGATCTAGAAGAATAAGAAAAAGTGACTCTACTGACGAGCAAACTTCAATTTTGATCTAAAAATATTAAAAAAAGGGACTCTACTGACGAGCAAACTTTAATTTTGATCTAGATTACAAAAAAAGACACTACTGACGAGCAAACATTAATTTTGATTTAAAAATATTAATAAAGGGACTCTACTGACGAGCAACTCTAATTAAGATATAAAAGCAAACTTTAATTTTGATATAGAAAATTAAAAAAGGGACTCCACTGATGAGCAATCTTATTTTTAATTTAGAGAATTAAAAAAACGATTATAAAAAGGGACTTTACTGATGAGCAAACATTAGTTTAGAATCTAAAAAAAAGGACAAAGTAAAAATAGAAACAATTAAATTGTTTCTAGTTTTATTATTCTATTTTCAAAATTAATATTTATGTTGCCTGACAGTATAGTCTTTTTTTGTATTGCGTAATGCTGAACTTATAATAAATTTGGTGGTCAGTACAGTCCATTTTTAATTGATAATTATATTTCTCGATCTACTAGAACATTTAAGGCAACCTTGTTGGAAGTCAGTTTAGAAGTTTTACTTCAATTATTTTTATAGATTATTTATTTATTATTGGTTTCTTAAATATGACAAAAAATTAGCTTTAATTAAGGACTCTACTGACGAACAAACTTGATCATGTATTTATCAAATAAGAAAGACACGTTGAAACAAGGACTGAAGGAACTCTACTAACGAGCAAACTAAATAAATGCAAGATTAAATACAACAATTTCACTTACAATATTTTTGTCAATACAATATTATAGATAATTTAATTTAGCACAATTTTGTCGAATATTTGGTTCATTTTGGACGAACGGTGCAAAAGTTACAAAAGATGCAATAAAAAGTAAACCAATGGGTTGCAGAACTCGGGGTCCAGTATAAGCTTAGAAGTTTTACTTCAAATATAGGCATGTTGGGTATCAAATGAAAGGTCTCGACGAGCACTATCCAAAAAATCATACTTAAATACTCTAGAAACCTATAGGGTTCCGTATAAGGCATTTATTTAATTCGTAATGACAACTATCACATTCTTCAGGTACACCAAAGTGTTACAGATTAGTACATATTGTAGATTATTATATTTCGTACAATTTTGCCGAATATTGCGTTAAATTTGGACAAACGGTTTAAAAGTTACAAGAGATACAATAAAAAGTAAATTGGGTTGCAGAACTCGGAGTCAAATATGAGCTCAGAAGTTTTACTTCAAATATAGGCATGTGGGGTATCAAATGAAAGGTCTCAATAAGCACTTATTAAAAATTATACTTAAACACTTAACAAAGCAACAGGGTTCCGTACAAAACACTTTTTTACTATCTAATCTCATTTATTTGTTTTCAAATACGATTTTAAAGTATACCGAGTTGCTGTGGAGCATATTGCGATATAAGACAATATTATAGAATATTTAATTTATTACAAATTCACCGAATATTTCATTTACTTTGGACTAACCGTTTAAAAGTTACGAGCGATACAATAAACAAATGCACCTTAAAGAAATTGCTGAACTATAAATAGTACAGCGGGTCAAATGCGAGTTAAGAAGTTTTACTTCAAATATAGTCATGTGGGGTATCAAATGAAAGGTCTCGACGAGCACTATCCAAAAATCATATTTAAACACTCTAGAAACCTATAGGGTTCGGTATTAATGTTAAATCCTAATTCTTATTCATTATTTACTCGTATTAGGAGTTCAAGCAACTTGCCTTAAGCCACTTACAACTATTTATATATATATATATATATATATATATATATATATATATATATGTTTTTACCTCACAATTGATGATATGCGTACGATATTTCTCTCTTAAGTCTATCAAAAAGTTATTTAAGCTTCCATTGAAAATTCCTTCTAAATCCGACATGCTGTATAAAAAGTATGACTCCGGTGATTCTCCGGAATCTTTGGTTTCTACAAATTCTTCCACCAAATGTCGTTTTCCGGTGATGTGTTGTATTAAATTATCTTCTTGAGCCTTTCTACAGGCTGTTATATATTTCATCATTGATACTAGGTCTTCACGATTTTTCTAAAAAATAAGAAAAAATATTTAATAATTGATTTTTGTTAAATAACAAGAGTAATTTGTTTGGAGTACTTTTTTAAATTTAGTTTATACATTAGTTAAATCGGTAAAAAAACGTCTAGACTTATATATACAACAGTTGAGTTTTCTAAGTTATCTAAAATTAAATGTCTTCGATGCTCATTGAAGTATTTAACTTGATGATGCTTCTAATAGAAAATAAAATTACTGCATTTAATATGTAACAAAGTACCCATCGATACGAGACAATTTGGTATCAACTTTCTTAGAATACTATTGTTATTTGTTAATAAATAATTAACATAAAATTTACTGAATTTAATTTTGAACAATGTACCCAACTAACATGAAGTTGTACGCGGTTCGGTACTGTCAACTCTTGTTTTGACCGTTAACATTTAAATTTGAATTTGCTACATATTATTTGTCATTATTTATAATATTACATTTTTGAACAATTGCTCGCATATTTTAAGTATTAACTAATAAATAAATATTAAGTATTAAAATATAGTATTGTTGTTATATTATAAGAATGTATAATAAAATAAAGGTGTATATAAAAAAGTGCAACCGGTGAATCTAATAATACAAAATGCCATTTCAAAGTTTGCAAATATTTTGTAAATAATTTTGTTTGAAACGTGATGAAGTGTGGTATACAGAGTTGTAGACAATTCTATTAGCTTTTCAATGGTATATAATAATATATTTGTTGTAAAACAATTTTTGCAATATAAATGTAAATATAAGCAAATGTAAGGAATAAAACCACCAATGCGGACTAAATTTTAAACTTTACAGATTTTTCTTATTTAATTTTGTTTGAAAAGTTTTTAAACGTTATATACAGTTTTATAGATAATTTTATTAGCTATCTAACAATATACAATATTATTGTTATATCTTAATAATTTATAATAAAATACGCATATTTATAAAAAAAGTGCAACTCTTCTACTAATTTGTATATAAAATGTTTTTAAATTACTGCATTTAATTTTGAACAATGTACCCAACACACATGAAGTAGTCTCCAAGTTGGTACTGCCAACTCTTTTCTGACCGTTAACATTTGAATTTCAATTTACAATACAATATTTGTGTTTTTATCATCAACAATAATATTAAATTTTTATAAAATTGCAAAACAACTCATTTAAAATAAAATCAATTATTAGTTAAATAGAATTAGTAAAATCACAATTAGTATAGGACTCTACTAAAAATATATAACAATAGTTCAATAGTTCAATTTTGAGAAGTAAGAAAGAACTCTACTGACTGCCAAACTGGTTATCGACTGAATTATTGAGAATAAAATATGAAAACTATAAATTATAATATGACTAATAAAAAGTTCATTCACACAAAACAAAACAAGAACTCTTTTGACAAACTAACTTGATTTAAACACAAAAAAGGAACTCTTTTGACAAGCGAACTTATAACCTATATATAATTATTAGAAATTATTAATAGAATGTCATATTGAACATCAAAAGGACTCTACTGACGAGCAATTTGAGGCAGATGTGAGAAAGAAAACATATTTGTTTAGACAGATTTGTAGATAATTTTATTACCTTTCTAACAATATATAATACTATTGTTATATATAATATAATTATATTTTAATTTTGTGTAATAAAATAAACGTTTGTATAAAAAAGTGCTACGGATCAAATATATAATTATGGACGCTGATAACTAGATACTAAATTTTAAAATTCGCAGATTTTTTTTAGTTAATTTTGTTCCCAAAACTAAGTCTTTAAACTATAATTTTATTAGCTTTTTAACGATATATAATAATATATATGTTGTAAAACAAATTTTAGCATTATAGTCGTAATTAGAAAAAAATGTAACCACTACCAATAGCTGACTACAGTTTCAATTTTACACACTTCTCTTGCTAAATTTTGTTCAAAAAGTTATTAAACCTTATATACAGTTTTGTGGACAATTTCATTACTTTTCTAACAATATATAATACTATTGTTATATTTTAATTATTCATAATAAAACAAACGTACAACTGATGAAACTAACATACATATTGAATGCAGCAAAACAACTTATTATAATTTGTATATAAAATGTATTATAAAATTACTGCATTTAATTTTGAACAATGTACTCGACACACATGAAGTTGTTCGCGGTTTGATACTGTCAACTCTTTTTTAACCGTTAACATTTGAATTTGAATTTACAATATAATATGTTTAATAGTAAGATTATATTATATTATATATATATATATATATACATATACATATACATATAAATATAAATTAGTACCTTGACAACACTTAATTCAGGAACAAAATCCAACAGTCTCGGGTTCAGTCTTTGTAAATCGATCACAGGACGATTGTAAAATAAATTTAGAACTTGCAAAGATGATTGGCTTACAGGACGTGGTTCAAAATCCCAATTTTGGATAACTCTTGCTGGGATAATTGCCTCCTGTAAAAAGAAATAAATATAAAATATATATATATATATATATATATATATATATATATATATATATATCTTATATATAAAATTCTTCTGTAATGATGTATGAATTGATACTCCTCCTAAACGGTTATTCGGATTTTGATAAATATTTTTTGAGTTTATCAAAGAACATTTTCAAGATTTAACGAACAATAAAGCTAACTATAGTAATATTGTAGAAATAAATGGCAAAAATTACAAAAAAACACTTATCATTCTTTGACATTGAAAATATTTGAACTGAGAAATATCCAATTCACTTGAAATTTGAATTTAACTGAAATTATAAGCCTAGATAATATTAGAATATAATATTCAAGAAAAATGTAATGTCTGCATTATTATTGCCGAAGAGCAGCTGAGATGTGCCCGAAATTAAAATAATATAAGATACAGTCAACACAGTATATGTTTGGCAGATGAAATTATACAATTAAGTTTAATAAATAACGCAATAAGTTCAAAATTGCATATACATTATTTTTTTTAAACTTATGCATGTAGTATTTTAGTTTACTTTACTAAATTATTTAACAATACAAGAAAACGTCTGTCTGTATATATATATATATATATATATATATATATATATATAATTTCACTTACTGAATTCCAATGACATGTCGAACAATAATAATTTCCTGTGTAGTCACAAAGTCTAGGATCCAGATTTTCTGTAAACAAAATTATTCCATTAATATATCTATTTATTTTGTTATAAATATTTTTATTACCAAAATTATTTACAAATCTTTCAAACCTGTTTGAATTAAATATTGTCCCAAACAAGCAGCGTATCCTTTATATGTAGCTTTGTAAAGGATAAATAATATTATATTAAAATCATATTTAAATAATTAAATATATATATTGTTTAAAACCTAATAAAATCGTATTTAATAATATTATTGTTAATGATAAAACACAATAAAACGACTTTGAATTCGATCTTTCATTATTCTTTGGAAACAAATAGAAAATTCGGGACATTTTTTTGGTTTTTGTCAAATAACTCACAAATATCATATAAAAGCACCCCTTTTCGGTTAGATAGAGAGAAACTAGATAAATTTACTACGATTCCATGCCAACAGTTATATACACTCCGATATAAAAGTTTATAAAAGTATTAAATATATTATTTAAATATATTTTGTTAATTCAAATTCAAACGTTAACGGTCAAAACAAGAGTTGACAGTACCAAACCGTGTACAACTTCATGCGTTGGGTACTTTGTTCACAATTAAATGCAGTAATTTTATAAGACATTTTATATACAAATTATAATAAGTTGTTTAGCATATACAGAGTGTCTTTTTGTAACGACAAGGTTTCGGATGTATTTAAAAAAATTGTAAAATAAATGTTGTGCTTTTAGAATACATAAACATATTTAAGATTTAATTTAATGTTTATTTAAATTTGATAAATTGAAACATGTAAATATTTCAGTTTTTTTTTTAATTTTTTTTTTCGCTTTTAAATACGATGTTAATGAAGTTTAGAACATTAGTTAATAAACTGATAAATTTCATAACTTAAAATAGCTAAAATAGTTAATACATTTAATAACATGAAAAAGCTTTTTAGATAAAACATATACTATGTATGCCCTGAAGATACGTCTCATTACGTTAAACTTTTATTTTAATATTTTATTTACTCAATTTTATCATTTATAAATAAGGTTTCTCTTGGCCTATAATATTTGACAATTCTTGTTTAGACCAAAAACTTTATAAACTATATCTTATTAATTAAGAAGAAAAGGCCCGACTGATCTTTACCAACGTTTCATAACATCTTATGAACTTAGTTTATTTGCTTTTGGTGCACTTTTTTATATACACGCTTATTTTATTATAAATAATTTAATTATAACAAGTTTATTATATATTGTTCAAAAATATAATATTACAGTTAATGGTGATAAAAATACAAACAATGTAAATTCAAATTCAAATGTTATTAACGGTTAAAAAAGAGTTGACAGTACCGAACCGCAGACAACTTCATGTGTGTTGGGTACAATGTTCTATATTAAATGCAGTAATTTTAAAACGTTTTATATACAGATTATAATTAGTTGTTTTGCTGCATCAATATGTATGTTAGTTTCATCAGTTGCACGTTTAATTTATTATAAAAAATTTAAATATAACAATAGTGTTATATATTGTTGGAAAGTTAATAAAATTTTCTACAAATCTGTATATAACGTTTAATAACTTTTCAAACAAAATTTGTTAAAAAAAACGATAAAGTTGAAACATTACTTAGCCATTGGTGAGTTTTATAGGTTACATTTTTTTCTCTTCACGGTTATATTATTAAACTTTGTTCTACAACATGTAGATTATTATATATCGCTAGAAAGCTAATAAAATTATCCATAAATCTGTATATAACAATTTATAACCTTTAAAACAAAATTATGTTAAAACACATGTTTAAACTTTGAAAGTGAATATTTACATTTTTTTATATTTACGTTTATAGTGTTTAAATTTGTTTTAATGCATATATATTATTATATATCGTTAAAAAGCTAATAAAACTATCTACAACTCTGTATATAACACTTTGTAACTTTTAGAACAAATTTATATATATTTTTTTAAACTTCAAAAGTGAACATTCAGTTGCTTGTAGTTTGTACTACATTTTTTATATTTACGTTTATATTGCTAAAATTTGTTCTAACATATATATATTATTATATATCGTTAAAAAGCTAATAAAATCATCTACAACTCTTTAAATAACATTTGCACACGTTTCATACAAATTTATTTATAAAATATTTTTAAACTTTAAAGTGTCATTTTATATTATTAGTGTCATCGGTTGCACTTTTTTATATCCACATTTATTTTATTAACATTAAAATTATTATTAAAATATAACAATAATATTATATACTGTTAGAAAGGTGATAAAATTGTCTACAAATCTGTATATAACGTTTTATAAGTGTTCGAACAAAATTAAATAAGAAAAATATGTGAACTTAAAAATTTAGTTACCATTGGTGGATTTCATTGGTTACGTTTTTGTATATTTATCACTATTGTACTAAAATTCATCTTTATGGTTATTTATAATATTATTTCTTTAGAAAGTAGATAAAATTATCTATAAATCTGTATATAACAATTTGATAGTATTGGAACAAAATTATGCAAAAATAATTTGTTAAACTTTGAAATTAAAATCTTTGTCGAGCGCCAGCATTACTTGAGCTTCAACGCTTTAGTTTATATTTATAATTATTTTGTTTAAATTTAATTAAATATATTAACATTATTATATATCATTAGAAAGATAATTAAATTATCTACAAATCTGAATATACCGTTTGATGACTTTTCTAACAAAATTTAGTAAGAAAAATTTATGAATTATAAAATTTAGTATCTAGTTATTAGTTAATTTATTTGAAACATATTATATATAATTGATTTATGAAAAAAATAATTTAATTGCAAGTTAGTAATTAAATATTACATTGATTATAATTATATTTAAAATGTTGACAGTTGAAAATTTCAAAATGTCTACTTGACAGTTCTGAATCCAACATGGACGATTGACAGCTCCAAATTTGAAATAATTCGAGTTATAAATAAATGTCGTTGGTTTATATTTATATTTATTTTGCTTGAATTTATTTAAATATATTAATAGTATTATATATTATTAGAATGCTAATTAAATTATCTATAATTACGTATATACAAATTTACAAGTTTTAAAACAAAATTGTCTAGAAAAAATGGTTAAACTTTAAATTTGCATTCATTGAATTTTTTTGGTTCGATATCTGACTAAACTTTCTCCTCAACTCTTTTATATTTTCTCTCGGGTAAAATGTTCATTTAACATTTACTGCATTTAACGTAATGGCGCTTAGACCAAAACATTTTTAAAATTAAATCATTTTTCATAGGCCTATAATATTTTAGACTACAAACTGTTCAATTATAATTGTATTATTATAATAAATTACTAGACAATTAAAATATGAAAGAAGTTATATAAATATTTACTATTATTTTTATCTGTATGACTTTATACCTACTTACTATTTATTAGCAATGTCTTGCATTCAAAGCATTTATAAAATTGTGAAGCCAATCCTTTCTCAGGACAAATATCTATGATCGGTTTTCCCATTTCTGTAACAATCACATTTGCACAAACTCGCAAAATGTGGCCGACACATTTGTGGTGGCAGCAGAAACCACAATCTAAAAAGTAAAAAAATAATAATAATAATAATAATTATTATTATTATTATTATTATTATTATTATTGTTATTATTTACCTGTACAAATATAAGAAGCTTGTACAACGCTCCATATTGTTCCACTGCAATGATCGCAATGTTGTCTTCTAGTAGTCGGTGCTTGTTGTCTTAATTTAAAATGATGCCCTAATATTACCTGAAAAAAAAACAAAATTTAATATAAAAGACGATAGTTTTTGCATAAAATAATACTAAATTGAAAATGTGCAGTATTTTTGTTTAAAACAATTAAACGAGCCAAATATACGAGTGATAATAATACACAAATGCTATATTGTAAATTCAAATTCAAATGTTAACGGTCGGAAAAGAGTTGACAGTACCAACTCGTATACAACTTCATTGTGTTTGGGTACATTGTTATGAATTAAATGCAGTAATTTCAAAACATTTTATATACAAATTATAATTAGTTGTTTTGCTGTATTCAATATGTATGTAGTTTCATCGGTTGCACGTTTATTTTGTTATACAAAGTTAAAATATGACAATAGTGTTATATATAGTTAAAAAGATAATAAAATTATCTACAAATCTGTATATAACGTTTAATAAGTTTTCTAACAAAATAAATTAGGAAAAATCTGTAAATTTAAAATTTAGTATCTAGTTATTAGCACAATGTGTTAAAAGTCATTAATTATATATTTGCTTTTATACAAACGTTTATTTTGTTATACAAAATTGAAATATGATAATAGTGTTATATATTGTTAGAACAGTAATAAAATTATCTACAACTCTGTGTATAAAATATACAGAGTCTCTCTTTCTATCAAAATTATCATTTGCTCGTCAGTAAAGTTCCTTTTGTATTTAGTTTCAGTTTGCTCGTCAGTAGAGTCTCTTTTTTGACAACATTTTAAATTTATCAACAAAGAGCAAATAAAATTTAATTTTAGAACATGAAAAAGAGAACTCTACTGAAGAGCAAGAGCAATCTATGATGATAGATAGAAAATAAAATCTGAGTATAGAAAATTACCAAAGGACAAACAAATTATATATTTAGATAGAAAAGTGAAAAAGGACTCTACTAACAAGAAAATTAAAACCTGCATATAAAAACAGACTTTTATTAATATTTATTATTCTGTCTAAAAAAGTAAAAATGGGACTCTACTGACGAGCAAATAAAATATCTAGATAGAAAATTGAAAAAGGACTCTACTGACGAGCAAATTAAATATCTAAAGAGAAAATATGAAAGGGACTCTACTGACGAGCAAATAAAATATCTAGATAGAAAATTGAAAAAGGACTCTACTGACGAGCAAATTAAATATCTAGAGAGAAAATTAGAAAAGGACTCTACTGACAAGCAAATTAAATATATAGAGAGAGAATTAAAAAAGGACTCTACTGACGAGCAAATTACATATTTAGACAGAAAATTAAAAAAGGACTCTACTGACGAGCAAACTGGCTAAAGAAAATTGTAAAGTATTAAAAATATTACTTTAATGATTTGTTGATATAGATGTGTTGAAAACTAAAAGAACTCTACTAATGATCAAATTAAAACCCATTTGAAATTTTTTTTTAATTTTAACTTATGTTACTATGTACAACTTTGCGTCCGCCGTTTTTTGTATAAATCTCGCTTTATAAAACGGCGGAAGCAAAGTTGTACATTTAATATTGAATCCTGCTGGTTTGTTGAATTTGTTACCATGATATTCGAGACCTTTCATTTGATACCCAACATGCCTATATTTGAAGTAAAACTTTTTAACTCGCATTTGACCCTCTGTACTATTTATAGTATGACAACTCATTCCTGTGCATTTATTTATTAAATTGTTTGTAACTTTTAAACAAATCGTTTCACGCGAATGAAACATTCTACAAAAATGTTCTAAATCAAATTATCTATGCTTGTACTTAATATCAATCCTTAAATCAACTCGGTATACTTCAAAATTGCAATAGAAACTAGAAAATTAGTTTTGAGTATTGGATATGTGTAATTGTACGGAACCCTGTCAGTCAATTTTGGACGTCACTGGTATATTTGGTTAATGCTCGTCGAGACCTTTCATTTGATACCCAACATGCCTATATTTGAAGTAAAACTTCTTAACTCACTCTTGACCAGCTGTACTATTTATAGTTCATAAAGTGCATTGGTTTATTGTATCCCTTGTAACTTCTGAATGGTTCGTCCAAACTAAATACAATATTCTACAAATTTGTTGAAAACTAAGTGAAATATAATATTGTCTAACATTATGGAACCCTACAGCAACCCGGTATACTTTAAAACGCTTTTAAAAACATATCACGTGTACAACTTTGCGTCCGCCGCTATTGTAAAGAACTTGCTTTGTAAAAACGGCGGAAGCAAAGTTGTACACCCAACTTTAGTAAAATAAATTTGGGTTTAATTAAAGTTAATAAATACTTTTGTAAGTTCCTTTTGCAAATTGGGATCCTCCAAAGCATCCTTCAACTCCTCAGCACACAGTCGTAACTCCACCAAATGCCTGACAACCCATTTACGTTCTTCGGAGCCACTTTCAGTCTCCAAAACTAATGCTTTGCATTGCTCGATACTATGTAGAATTTCTGGCAGAGTCGCTTTCTGTAAAAAAATAGACATTAAACCTATTGTACAATATATTATATATCAAGTATTGACTTATTATTTACATCTCCTAATATCAATTGCCATTTATACTTAATAAGCCCCGAAGGAATAGCCTGAGACTCCTCTTCCAAAGATAAAGAACTATTCGAACTTGTTATTGTTTCTGGAGGGTTTATTTGTATGCAAATGTCTGTTGGGGCTGTTGCGTAGCCTTCACGAACACTTTCCATAATTAATAATAATTGTCAATTGTTTAAAATTAATTTTTGTGCGTTAATAAATTTAATGTATAATAATTAATATTATTATATAATTAATATTAATATATAAATGTGTAAAAAGCGCTTTGTTATTATATAAATATTTACATGAGTTTGACAGTTCGAGCTGTCAAGCGTCCATGTTGGATTCGGAACTGTCAGGAGGACATTTTGAATTTTGCAACTGTCAACATCTAATAATAATATTTAATTTTGTTTGAAAAGTTATTGAAGGTTATATATACATTTGTAGATAATTTTATTGGTTTATTAAAGATGTATAATAACGTTAATATATTCTATTAAATTATGACAAAACAATGTGGAGCTGTCAAGCGTCCATGTTGGATTTGAAACTGTCAAAAAGATATTTTGATTTTGCTATTTGTTAGAATTAATTGTGCGTCTTGTTTTTAATTTAGAATAAGCAATTCGAATCACTTTTTACGCATTTTTATATTAATAATGATAATTATTTACTTTTGTGCGAACTGTCAAATTTGTAAGTTTGAGCTGTCAAGCGTCCATTTTGGATTCTGAACTGTCAGGAGGACATTTTGTATTTTGCAACTGTCAAAATACATTATTAGTTTGTTAAAATTAAATGTGCTTAATGTTTTAAATTTACAATGAGTCAATTTAATGATTTTTTACGCATTTATAAAATAATAACAATTATTATTTACTTCTGCACGAACTGTTAAATTTGTTAATTTGAGCTGTCAAGCGTCCATGTTGGATTTGGAACTGTCAAGGGATTTTGCAACTATCAACATTTTAAATATAATTATTACGAATGTAATGAAGATAATATTTTATTAGCACTTAGCAATTTATTTAAACATATTTATTTTTGTTGTAAATTAAATATATAAAATGTTGCAAATAATAATGTTAAAATAAATATTTTTATTAACTATATGATAAATTTTAAAGTTTTCTTACTAAATTTTGTTAGAAAAGTTTTTAAATGTTATATACAGATTTGTAGATAATTTAATTAGCTTTTTAACGATATATAATAATGTTATTAAATTTAATTAAATTTAAACAAAATGAATATAAATATAAACCAAAACGTTGAAGCTAAACAATACGGACGTCTTACAAAGATTTGGATTTCTAAGTTTAACGAATTATTTTTGCATAATTTTGTTCCAATACTAACAAATTGTTATACACAGTTTTACAGATAATTTTATCTACTTTCTAATAATATACAATAATATATACATATTGAAACAAATTATTTAAAAAATTAATTAAAATCTAAATAAAATGTTTGACCAAACATCATGAACTAGATATAACTCGTTGTTTAATTTCAATTTTTTAAATATATCTTTGTTCCATACGATTTAAATTGTTATATACAGATTTATAGATAATTTTATCTACTTTTTAAAGATATATTATTATAAATAACCTTCAAGATGAATTTTATTACTAAAATGCTAAATATGAAAAAATGTAACCAGTGAAATCCACCAATAGCTAACTAAATATTAGAATTGACCACTTTTCTCACTAAATTTTGTTTCAAATTTTGTTTGTTATATGCAGATTCGTAGATAATTTTGTTAGCTTTCTAACAATATATAATACTATTGTTATTTTTTGATTTTCTATAATAAAATAAACGTGTTTACAAAATAGTGCAAAAGATGAAACTGGTACTATAAAATTCATTTTGATAACAAAGTTTAAAACTATTTTGTGAAAAATTTTGTACGAAACATGTTAAAGTATGGTATACAGAGTTGTAGATAATTTTATTAGCTTTTTAACGATATATAATAATATATATGTTGTATAACAAAGTTTAGCAATATGAACGTAAATATAAAAATCGTAACCAATGAAATTCACCAATGGCTAAGTAGATTTTACATTTTACACAATTTTCTTATTCAATTTTGTTTAAAAAGTTAATAAACGTTATATACAGATGTGTAGATAATTTTATTAGCTTTTTAATAATATATAATATCATTGTTATTACTTAAGTTTTGAAATTAATAATTCATTTATTTTGGGCAAAAAATGCTAAAATCTCAAGTATATTTTTTTCAATTTGCATCATTTGCTGAAAATTTTGTTAGAACATTTAAATACTATTATATATTACTGAAAAGCTTATTAAATTGTTCACAAGTCTGCATTTACATTTTTAAACGTTTTAGAACAAACTTTTTGATAAAAATTACCTACACTTTGAAATTTAATATTATCACACACTTTTTTAAATTAGCAAAATGGATAAACATTAAGTAAGTTTTAAGTTTTAGTATTTAATTATTGGTTATTAGTAGATTTCCAAGGTTACATTTTTTGTAATTACCTTCATATTGTGAAAATTTGTTCCACAACTTATATGTTATTATATATCGTTAAAAAGCTAATAAAATTATCTACATCACTATATATAACAATTTATGACGTTTAACAAAATTACTTACAAAATATAGTTAAAAATGAAAAGACAAATATTATATTGTAAATTCAAATTCAAATGTTAACCGTCAAAACAGAGTTGACAGTACCAACCCGCGTACAACTTCACTTTGTTGAGTACATTGTTTAAAATTAAATGCAGTAATTTTATAACATTTTATATACGAATTAATATGTGAATTAGTTTCATCGCTTGCACTTTTTTTTTACTTAGACGTTTATTTTACTATAAATAATTAAAACTAGCTGTAAGTGGAATTCTGTCTTAAGGCAATTAAGGCATCGTGCCTTAAGGCAAATTGCTGGAACTTCCCGTGCCAAAAATTATTTTTTTAAAAACGATTAACATTTTTGAAAAAATTTCACTTCGAAAAAATAAGATTTTTTAGAAATTTTAAATCGGACAAAAAATTACTTTTTTTTGAAAAAAAAAATTACGTTTTTTTGAAAAAAAAAAAATTTTTTTTTAAAAATTTTTAAATAATTTTTTTTATAAAAATTTTTTTTTTGAAAAAATGTCTTCATTTTGATATATTTTGGAAGATCTGAACTTTTTTTCAAAGCAATCGTACTGCTTTAACTGCATAGAGACGAAATATAGAAGCGCGTAAGCGCCGCGTCGCTGTCTAACGGAAAAACAATAGTACGGAACCCATAGGAATGTAAACAAAACTTATACTTATTGTTAAAATCTCAATAAAATATCTGATAATTTGATATGCATATGTCTAATGTCTAATGATTATTGTTGACCGCCAAACGTTATTTTTTTTAGTTTTTTTTACTAAATCTCCGAAACCGCTAGACCTATCTTCATGAAAATTTGATCAAATCTTCATCTTGTTCATACAAGTAAAATGTTTTTTGAACTATACAAATCGGACGCTCCGTTCTCTTAAAAACTGAGTTACCGTTTTTGGCCCTTTTTGCCCCATATCTTCGGAACGGCTAGACCTGCCTTTGACAAAAACTAATCAGCACGTCTCCTTATCAATACGAATCGAATGTTTTCTGAATTATTCAAATTGCTTCATCCGTGTTCCCGAAATCGTCGACGAAAATTTGTATCCGAACACACACACACATGGACGCACACACACACACACACACATACATCAATTTTCTCCAAGGTATGCCAACATATTCAGAAACCTCTGAAACGTGAAGATATATAAAAATTTTCATTTTCGATTTTTTTGCGATTACTTACCCTATGGAAAGTTAATTATAAATAAATCAATTTATCATCTCCAGAACATTAATAATCGTCATTTCATTTCGAATCAAATTCCAAAAAAAAATAGTTGCCAAAATTACACAAAATTGAAAAAGTGCTCCCGCATAGTCACAGTCTAAACGCATTTGCAAATAATTCTGTGCGACATTCTCACTTATACTGTGCTCAGATTGGCGGCATTTTCACATTTTTCAATAATTTTCACAAAATTGGAAAAGTGCTCCAATACACAAACAGTCTAAACGCACATGGGTAAACATTTGTACCAGAGTGGCGCTTAGACTGTGCTTAGTTTGGGTGATTTTTTGAATTTTTAATCCAAAATTACAAAAAAAATTTTTTGGAAAAAAAATTAGAAACAAAAATTTTTTTTTTCCAAAATCAATTATTTTGTTGAAGAAAGCAGAAAGTTCTTTGAATCATTTAAATCGGACGCTTAGTTCTCTCAAAAACAGGCATTTTTTTAAATTTAGCTCTGTATCTCCGAAACCTCTGGGCCTACCTTTGCCAAAAACTAATCAGCACATCTCCCTATCAATAGGAATCGAATGTTTTTTAAACCATTCAAATCGGTTGATCCGTTCTCTCAAAAACTCGCTTTCTATTTTTTGCACTCTTTGCTCCATATCTCCGTAACGGCTGGACCTGCCTTTGCCAAAAACTAATCAGCACATCTCCCTATCAATAGGAATCGAATGTTTTTTAAACCATTCAAATCGGTTGATCCGTGCGCCCGAAAACGTGGACGAAAAAAAGCGGACATACAAAACACACACACACACACACACACACACACACACATCCATTTTTTCTGAAGTATGCCAAAATGTTCAGAAACCTTCAAAACGTCGAGAAATGTAAAAATTTTTGATTTCGATTTTTGGACGATTACTATAACTTACCCTACGGGAAGTTAATAAAACAATTAGTATTATATATTGTTAGAAAGGTAATAAAATTATCTACAAATCTGTATATAACGTTCAAAAACTTTTCGAACAAAATTTAGCAAGAAAAATCTGTAAAATTGAAACTGTAGTCAGCCATTGGTAGTGGTTACATTTTTTGCTAATTACGAATATAATGCTAAAACTTGTTTTAGCATATATATATATATATATATATATATATATATATATATATATATATATATATCATTATATATCGTTAGAAAGCTAATAATGTTATCTACAACTCTGTATATTACAATTTATTACGTTTCGAACAAAATTATTTACAAAATATTTTTAAACTTCGATATCGAATTCAAGTGCCATTT